CACTGCAGCCTACGCGCCGTCGCCGGCGACTCACGGCAGCCCAGCTCCAGGTTGAACTGTTGTTCACCATCTTAGCTGTAGAGGGCGCAGTGTCACTGGCCCATGTGGGATCCGAACCGGGGTCCTGCTGCTCAGCTGGCGTCCCAAGCCAACTTTTAACCAAAGCGCCACTCGGCTGACCCTATTTAAATTACTTTTGTAGTGTTCTTTTTTATTCAATGTACTATCAGTGTCTTTTAATGTCAATAAATTCTCATCTACAACACAATTTTTAATGAATAGAATCCCATTGTAAGGATATAGCAAAACTTATTTAACCCCGGTTCCTCATAGACCTTTGTTAAGTTTCCTTAAAAAAAATTTGTGATAATCTTATAGCTACATATTTACACAGATGACTAGTTATTTATTGGAATTAGATTTTCAGCAGGTCCACTTGTGCTTTTTCATCCCTTCTAGCAACTTCCTGGTCTTTGTTCTTTCCAATATTGCTTCTTTATGTATCTGCAGACTTTCTCTACTTGTTCCTTTCCTTCTCTTTATCAGTATGCTTAAGTCATTTCCATTCTTAAAAATCTTTCCCTCAACTCTGCCTCTCCCTGTAGCTGCTGCCAAGTTTTAAGTCCTTCCCTTTATCACCCATCCTTCTATCACTGCTTTTAAAAAGTTCCATTCACTCCTCAGTGTTCAGTGTCTGGCCCCTCCGCACCACTGTAACTATAGAGTTATAGATGTTAAATTACTTGATTACTTAATTTCAAAGTCTTAACCACTTATTGGCTTTTGACTCTGTTAATCATACTCTAAAGTGTTCTCTAAGTGACACCATTTTCCTTTATATTATTGACTCCTTTCTGTTTCCTTCACGAGTTTTCTTGCGCCTCTTTAAATATTGGCATATCTCAAGATTCCATTGTAAAATGTCTCTGATTCTCCCTGGACACATTCATTTACTCCAGTGGTATCAATTCTCATCCAAATGTTAACTCCCAAATTTACCTGTCTCCCTGAGCCTGTCCATGGTGGTAAATGGTTTCCACTTAGATGGACGACTTATCTTTTAGTGAAAGTTAATATAAGGAATTCTTCTCCTTTGTTGGGTACCCCATCAGTGGCATTTTCATTTAGTCCTTTAGTCCTTTGACTTCTCCAGTCTCCAACGTCCAAATGATTCCAAGTTCTGCCCATTGTGTCTTGTCAAATCCATCCCCTCATTCCCATCCTCACTGCCTTAGTTCAAGCCTTCATATCTTGCCAAGATTAAGTCCATGCTCTACACTGCTGCCAGTTCTTTTTAAGGTACATGTGATATTGTCACCCCCTTACCTTAAAACTTTTTGTCATTCCTCATTTCACATAGAATAAAATCCAAATTTCATTACATAACAGTTAAAGCCATTTGGAATTTGGCCAGCTGTATCTTTGCTGCAGAATGCCTTCCCCTGCCTCATTCACCTGTACGACCATGTTTACCATCTCCTGTAGTTCACCCTAGTGACTGCCTCTGCTGCAGTCCCATAACTCATGCAGTTTTACTAGTTTGAATTTTTCAGTTAACTTGCCACCTCTGTATTACCAGTGGTGATACAGTGCCTGGACTTGGCTACTTAAAGATACTATTTGGTTTCATTAATAGCATTTGAGAATTAAGATCACCATTCTTGGGTCCAGTTCCCTGTAGCATAAATATCGAGTCCCAGTAGTGTTTTGTAAGTTAGGAGATCTCATGCAATATTGTTGCAAACTATCACTGGTTATCTGTGTTCTGTATCAGAATAGTTGCTATGCACAAAAATTTGTGTGTTGAAATTTTCCATTTGGAGGAGTTGTTAGGTGGAGGTGAAAAGGCAAGTTCATAGGCTCTTTTTTGGCATTGGGGCTTACTTGGTATTTGGTTTTTCAAGTTTATTCAGATTTAAACTCATCAGTTGGCAGAGATTTAATATTGGTATATCTCAAGATTCCATTGAAGGTAAATACATATAGGAATGAATTCATCTGTAAACATTAAAGAAATAGAAATGCTTGCTTTAAAAAAGAAAAGGAGGGGCCGGCCAAGTGGCGCATTGGTTAAAGAGTTAGCTTGGGATGCCAGCTCTGAGCAGCAGGGCCCCGGTTCGGATCCCACATGAGGGCCAGTGACACTGTCCTCTACAGCTAAGATGGTGAACAACAGCTCGACCTGGAGCTGGGCTGCCATGAGTCATTGGTGACAGCGTGGGCTGCAGTGGGGCTGCAATGGGTTGCTGTAAAGCTACAGTGAGTGGTCAGCAGCCACCGTGAACGGCCATTCAATGGCTGGCAAGTGACTGCCTCACCCGGGAAGAGTGCAACGATCACAATACCAACATGGGCCAGTGAAGCGATGTCCTCCACAACTAGACTGAAGAACAAAAGGACAGCAACTTGTTTGTTCCCCTTCCCCAATTCCCCAATGCTGTTCCCCTCCTCCAATTCCCCAATAAAAACCTTTAAAAAAATAATGAAAGAAAGAAAAGAAAAGGAGGGGGCAACCAGTTAGCTCAGTTGGTTAGGGCGCAGTGCTCGTAACACCAGGGTTGCTGGTTCAATCCCCACATGGGCCACTGAAATGCGTCCTCCACAGCTAGATTGAAACAACTACGTGACTTGGAGTTGTTGGGTCCTGGAAAAACACACTGTTCCCCAATAAAAATAAATAAAAAATTTGTAGGAGTACACACGATGCTTCATTTTAAGATGATTAAAAAACAGTGGATTTTTAAATTCTGGTCTTGAGTTACTGCCTATTGTCTACTAAATTCTGCCATGGTGTTAATATGCTCCATATATGTTGACTAAATAGTTTTCTTAAATTAGTACTTAAAGATACAGCTATGGCCCAATCCTTTGAAGCAATCTCCTCATTTTAATATAAATACTTGTAAGAACATTTTTTATAACTGCAAGAAAAAAGGAGTTAACAAGTAAAGATCAGTATATTTAGGAGCATTTTTGGAGGGTGTTTTTCACCTGCTATTTTTATTAATTGTTTAACATTTTTACTGAAAACATAATTTATATTCTTGGTTTGTCTGATTTCTTTTTTTTAAGGGCCGAAGGTTGTAGTGAAAAGTAAATCTCCCTCTCATTCTGGACCTCAGGGTCCCTTTTGTTGCCAGTTAACAGATGGGGGCACACTGTATGCCCTTCTGCACTTTCCTTTTTTAATTTAATGTATCAACTATATCAAGATATATATATATATAGCTGTACCTGATTCTTTTTCATAGCAGGTATTCCATTGTTTGGATGTAACTATTTAGCCTTCTATTGATGGTCATTTAGACCAGTGCGCTTATGAATATTCTCACACACATGTCTTTGCACTGTTTGCAAATCCATCTGTAGGTTACATTCCTATAACTGCTGAGTTAAAGAATGTGTGCGGGGGTGGGGGGGGGGTATGAGCATTTAAAACTTGGATATGTTGCCAAATTTCAAGGAGTGTAGTTTTAGAAGATGAAGATTTCTCACGTAGTCCTATTTTCCCTGTGGATTAATTGTGGGGTTTTTGTTTTGTTAAGTATTCAGAACCAACTTCGCATATTTCCCAACTATGTATGTTTAAATGCTCATATTTTAGTGAGTAACTCCACAAAATGCAGTCGAAAATGGTTAAAAGCAACTATCAATTAGTACTTAGATTCCTATTTTTCTTTTCCCACACAGAGTTGCAGGGGAGAATCATCTTGAGGTTATACTCGTTTAAAAATGCTAGGGGTTCCTCTTTTTTTCCTTTGAAGTTGAGAGTATTCGACCCTAAAAAATGGATTAACTTTTAGAAATGCTTCTCAAAATGAAATAAGGTTTTGCTTCCAGGTGAGTGAAAACAGTAATTGGAAATAAAGACTTGGGTTTTCCCCTCTTGTTTAAACCCAATGAAATTATGATGCTTGGCCAAAATGAAATAAAAGTTAAATTTCCTGTGTGAGGTTGTCGTTCTCACGCTGTATATTTTCTTTCAGATTCCTTTGTTTCTTCCTCTTCCTCTCAGCCTGTATCTCTATTTTCGACCTCACAAGGCAAGTCCGTCATTTTTTTATGTGCATTAATAAAAGAAAAATGTTGAGAAAGAGGCTGTAACTGGGGATATGAGGCACATGTTTTCTATTGACCCCAAATCCCTTAAAATAGAAACTCATTACAAGCCAGTCCTTTATATTTAGCAATTTCCAATGGATTTCCTGTGAAAGTTAGTAAAATAGAAGGACGCTAGGTGGACCCTTCAACATAGCATTAGCTCGAGATGTAGTTTTGAGTAATTTTTCCCCCCCGTTTTTTTTATTCCTTTAACAATTTTTTTTAAGTATTTCTTAAAAATTAAAAACTCACCCACAGAATTTGGAGCAGATAGAATTGTGGCTCAGAAAACAACCCACCCCTAGAATGCATTATAACTTACTGCTTTGCAGTTTTGTAACTGTTTTGGAGTGGTCGTGGATTTGAGAATACAGCATAAAAGTGTGCTTCCACTGAACTTCTATTGTACCAGCTTAGCTAGAGTACTCTAGTGTGAACTTCCCTGAGATGTGTCCCAAGAGCCAGGCTAGTTCCAAATCGCCTAGGAACATTGAACAAGTCAGTTGACTATTTGGCAAGCAAGGCTTGTTTTTCTATAGATGAAGCTGTGGCTTTGTTTTTGTTTGTTTTTTTCCTGATCTGCCAACCAGTGAGGAAGGAGTCAGTGTGATAGTTCTAAGTTTGTGAAGGTAGTAACACTTGCCAGGAAGCTGAAAGGGCTACTACCTTCACAAACCTAAAGCTATCGTTGGTGTGTGCTTTGTCGATTTGTACTAATAAGAAAGTTCTGTTTTGTTTGTGCTGTTGTACTGAATCTCAAATATAGGTCAATAGAAAACTCTTATTTTAAAAAAGGTAATTAAACTCACTAGCTAGGTCTAATAAAGCCCTGTGCAACCAGTTTATTGTCCCAGCTGAATCTTCTAGATGCAAAGTCTGGATACTGGTTTATTAGGAAGGCTTTGACCTTATAAGAATGAAAACGTAATGGGATAAAAATGAATATAGTAAAATTTTTGCCAGGATTAATCTCTGCCTCTTAGGAAACATGACAGATAGTTCGTTGTTTTTAAGTGATAATTTGTTACTTTTAATTCAGGCTGCATTAGAGCCCCCAACCCCTTTATAATGTGCCTCACTGTGTGAACCTGGATATCTTGTGGGTCAAATTTGAAATTTACTTGTTTATAATAAAAGATACATATTTTGTGAGTGTTAAAGAAAACTCAAACCTACAAAGTGATTCTTGACATCTGGAACTGGATTGGGTTAGTGCCAGTTTGGGACCAGACTGATATTTTTAAGGATTTTTTTTTTCCTCATTAGAAATTTAATAATTTAGGCAAATAGGTATTATATTTATTCTACTCTGAAAGATAAACTGGTAAAAATTCAGTGTAAGTAGAATAAATAATATTTCCTCTGTTGTAAACATTTCAGATCTTTTAAAATACATCCTTCATAGTTAACTTCCAGTCACTTTTCTCATATAGAAGGGGTAATTGATATCCTAAATAGTGAAACAGTGCAACCCAAGCACAACATAGCTAATGTATGGAATGTTGAAGATAACTATCATAGCTTTAAAAATTATTTTAACCCCTGTTAGGAAAAATTACACATACACTGAAGTAGAATGGAGGTAAATAAAAAGGATTTTTCAAATTAAAAACTAATGTTTAAGTAGGCTTCAATTTCACAGTATGAGAGTTTGTAAAAGAAAACAGATTTGTCATTCTTCCTTTTAGTTTATAAAGAGTTATTTTGACCAGTTCAGACTTAGAATAGTGTCATTGCTAAAAGGGTGTTGTAAAGAGCCAATTAAAAACACCATATCCCTGAAGGCGTTCCAGTCTAGCCTCTGTTATAGCATTTTCTTCTACACACACACACACACACACACACACACACACACACACACACACACACACACACACACACACACACACACAATGGAAAAGACCCAGTTGGTACTCTACTTCAGTGGCAGGTCTAGAACCTGTTCAGTTGTTTGAGGTAACACCTTGGCAAGTGATTATGTGTGTTCTGGGGGTCGCCAAGACTGATGCTTCTAGCCTGCCTTAATACAAATAAGGGAAGAGAAAATTGTTGGTGTACTTGATTAACTGAATTTAAACCCCTGGAGAGAGTAGCTGGGACCAGTCCAGCCAACGCAGGCCTTTCAGAGTGACTGCTGCCACCAACAGTCGCCTCGAGCCCATCACTGGCACTAACCCAACTAAATAACCTGTCTTTGGCTTCCATGTCCCTTAGCCATTTAGCCTTGGAGAGTTGTGCCTTACTTTTATATATCTAAGCCATGCTAAGCAATATGTAGCAATAATTCAATGGGATATTTTCATATTTAAGAATGACATTTTAAACCCTGAAATATACCTATTATTGGGCTTCAGGGAGATACATGTACCAAAAACTGTTATTAATTTGGACTTAGTAGAGAAAGGCAGTTAAATATTTCAAAATTAAATTATGTAATAGTTATTAAATTGTACTACTTTGAGGTATACAGCTACATAAGCTAACAGGTTACGCTTTTTTTTTTTTTTTAAATTTTATTGGGGAACAGTGTGTTTTTCCAGGACCCATCAGCTCCAAGTCAAGTAGTTGTCTTCAATCTAGCTGTAGAGGGCACAGCTCCTTGGCCCATGTGGGAATCGAACCAGCAACCTTGGTGTTATGAGCCTGAGCTCTAACCACCTGAGCTAACCGGCCACCCCCAGGTTACACTTTTTGAAAGCCAATGAATAGATTTGTGGTGAGAATGTCAGTGGAATAATCAGTTGTGCTCCTGAGTAGGTCCTTTGCAGTCTTTTGCTTATTGATTCCTTTTTCTCATTAAAGATTTAAATTTCAGCCTAATCCCTGAGCATTTCAAAATAGGGGAGTAAATTTGAATAATGTTTTCCTGTACTGTAAAATAAAGATATTAACAGAGGTATAGATGTAGTATGTGGCTAATTTTTCTTGAAATTTTACGATGCTCAGTACTTTATATGAATCATTTTACTTACTCCTCATAGCCAATTTTATGGAGGAAAGGCAGTAACTCTTTTACCTATTGAGGAAACGAGTTTAAAACGGTGAAATAACTTGGTCAATGTCACACTGTAAGTGACAGACCTAGGACTTAAAGGCCCATGCTCATAACCACTACCTACTATAAAAGATGATACGGCGTGTTAGTTGTATTTTAGGGTTTACGGATATGTGTGGAGATGTCATTTTCAGGTTAATGTTAGAATCATGAGAGTAGAAGAGGCAGAAACTATGGTTTTAACCATATTATTATTGCTATTAGTTAGGTAATTTAGTATCATCTGGGGGATGTGCTACTTCCACCAGGCACAAAATAAAACTGAAACTTGGTTTCTACTTTTGAAACCTTTGATAAAAGTGTAGGCTGGGAAATACTATGAGTTTCCTTAGAAAACATTGGGATGAAGGAGATGAAAATAAGGTTGGAGAGGACCCATCCACCATGCAGAATTGGAAGCACATTTGCAGTAATAAACATGTGCATTCAATTTGAGTGACGCAGTAGGCATCTGGAATAGGAAGTTAAACACTGAACTTGGGGGCAAGCGTTGAGGAAAAAATATTTGCCAGTTACAGCCTCTTTTTTAACAAAAGTAAAACATTTTTCTATGTACAAAAGAGACTTTTTGTTCAGGATCTAGCTTGGCTGCAAAGTGTCTGCTGGCTAACTTCCTATTTTGATGCTGTGGCTGAAAGTTGCTGATATTGTTTTGCACGATAATTTGTCTTGTTTTGTGAACATGAGAAAATTCAAGTGTAGGAAAACCTATACCTGAATATTTCAAGCCTCCTTTGTATGAATATATATAGTATGTGTGTGAAAAGTAACAGTGGCCACTACAGGCTGGCAGCCTTTTACTGATGTGTATGGTTTTTCCATGTTCCAGGTATCCTTTTAATTAATAGTAACGAATAAACGGTAACTATAACAGAATTCTAAGCTAGTCACTCTTTTTAGGAGGAACTCTAATATAGGATATAACATTCCTTATTGCTTACTTGTTTCTAGATCACATGTTTTCAGTAATTAAGTTATAAAGACTTGAGTAAAAAAGTACTAGATCTTCTAAAAGAGTTTGGAGAATAAGAAACAAAAGATATTGGAAGGATAAATAGTATGTGATGGGTTTGTTTTTTTTTTCAGTTTGAATGTGTTTACTTGATGTGTACAGAGCTTTCACTAGTTTTTTCCTGTTATTTTTGACTCCCCACCTTGTTCTGTGAGATTAAGTACTCTGGGCATAGAATTAGCATATAGACGTATTCACAGCAAGAGCAGAGGACCACTTGTGCCCCATGCCCTCCTGACCTGCACATTGTGCTCCTGGACAGAGACCACCTGTGGCGAAGAGTGAGTGTCCATCTCATCTGGGGTTTTTACAGGACTAGAGTTCTGAAGTACAGCTTGATTTTTCTACTCTTCTAAAACTTGTCAGATATGGCAACGGTGTGGTTCTCAAACCAGGCTCATTACCTGGGAAACCTGTCATGCAGATTCTTGAGCTCCATTCTCCTCAGGAAATTCTGAGTCAGTAAGTCAGAAACAAAGTCCATGAAGTACTAGTAGTTGCTCTAAAGTCTGAAAGGGAATGGTGCCAAAAGCTATTTTTGTGCTAGGTTGTTGAATTGTTCAGCTGGTCGTATATTGAACTAAAATATACTTTGACCTTGATAGTGGTATAGATCATTTGCTGGAACATTTTGTTCAGGAATGTTCTTTAATCTTTCAACATTGCTTAGAATTTTTTACATATTGGGCTGCATAAATGTCTTTTTTCGTGGACAGCTTACCACAAGTCTTGGAATGTCATAGGCATTTGGTTTGTTCTGATTCAGAAGTTGCATCACCCCAAATTTTGAAATAGATAAAAGCCCTTTAAATTTCTTTTATTTGTGAATGGTAGGAGGGAAGGTGTCTAAAACTGAATGGTTTTCTGTATTATAT